CTGACTCATTTTTCAATCAATAACTGGATACTCACATCGAATAATGTGGTATTACAAAAAACATATTTTTGTTCAGTCTGTAGCATTCTCTTAATATTGAATGAAAATTACTTAGCTCATGAATGCAAAATAAAGAATTGGATTTAATGTATATATTTGATTAGTATGATTTGAAATGTAGTACTCATTTTATATTGATATTATCTTCCTTCTTTCACCTGTCTTCCTGAAAATACATTGCAGCAGAATATCATATTTACCAAAAAAAAACTAAGTACAGTAGCTGCAAGTTTTTTCAGTGGAAACAGTTCTGTTGTATATAACTATAAATAAAATGTTGAAATGTTGTGTACCATACTGATTATGTCATTTTTTCGAAACAATAGGATTTGTTTATATGCGAATCTTCCGATATCAAAGTGTCCAAAATGAACTGAATATTGTTTCCATATAAAATTTTTTTGATTTATTCATCAATTTTATTCATTTTTCATTATGTTCTTAACAAATATACTGAGTATTTTTAAGAAGTAACAGTTATGTCTTGACTAATCTCCCTCCAAACAAGACCGAAATCAATGGAATTGGTTTATATATATAGGGACATTTCTATTCAGAAACCAAATTCTTTTCCTATTCTACATTATCATCACTAAAGGAAAATTCGTAAATAAATAACTTACTATATTTATACCATAGAATGTTTCAAGCATTTTCCTTAGATCCTTATAGGTGGGCCAACAATCACTATACCTATTTACTATTCACGATTAGCTCAGAAGGGAGATCTTGGTGAAAGGATCAGTTATCTCACAAAATAATCAAGATTCAAAGATATCTTCTCTCGATATGAACGCTCTTGTATGAAAATGACCACGTTTATACCATATCTTGTTGAGGTAAACAAATTGGTGTGCATTGGTATAGCCTTGACTTGAGTAGAGTGTAACTTTCATTATTCCAGATATTTTGGGATTTTCTCTCCTCGTTTCTATAAAATGAAAATATGAATCTTATTTCAATATACGTGTAGTAAGGACAAATCAGATGATTCTCCCCAAAAAGTCATTGCGTTTGAAGAATTTTCTTATCAGAGAGCCTAAAAGAGAAATTCACTAGCTTGTCAGTGACAATTCGTGTTGAAAAAGATTTGGAGACGAGAAATTAAGGTTGTTTTATAAATCTTCGAAACAATATATTCAATTCAGTCTTATATCTGCCAATTTAGAATTTTGCCAAAAGGTGTTATTCATCATTTACATATTTAAATGGAGTTCAACAACCTAACCTCAAGATGATGATCAAATTATTCCAAAATTGGTTATCAATTGGTAGAAGGAACGATCGAATTCATCTTCAAACTTTTTGAATGACACAAGTTATTCAGGAGGACATGTTTCGGGCTCCTGAAAATTCATCTTCAGTCTAGTTATGAAAGTAATGGAGTGAAGTTCATCAAACTATTGGTGCCAATGCCTATATCGTCATATTATCATATTGAAACTGGTATAAATATTTGGATCCAATTAGTAATTCAATTGATTCATTTTTGGATTCAATCAGTGCATGGCGCTCTTTGAGGGTACGAGGCTCTTATTTGTATTCCCGTTGAATTCAAAATATGACTCCACCATTGCTCTTCAAGCTTACCTTTTGGCACTGTTAGTTGAAAATTAGTAAACGCGTTCTCAGGGCACGGGACCATTCATACTATACCCGATTATATACCGATTTTGACATTCCGTTCCTTCTTCCATCACTTTGAACAAACATGGACTTCTACCAGAGATTAAAGTTGTTGTATAATGATGTTGATTCATCAAAGATACGTGGTGTGAACATTCGAAAACTGAGAAATTTGGTCTGCATTTGGTCAGATCAGCTTGGTAAAAATACTTCATATTCACACAATATTAACGTGGACATTATGTTAATTGTGATCCTTCTTAAGCAGAAACAGCATGAGAAGAGCTGTTCTAGTACAAATGATCCTGTAATATACATGGTGTTTCATTGATATTGCACAAAACATAGAGATCATATTTTGTGTTTTGTAAGTTGAAAAAAAAAATCGTATAAACATATGTCCGAAAACGCTTCATTCCCAAGATACAGGGTGCTCAAGTTCATTATAAGAATCGATTTTATATTGATTTGTGGAATATGCCTGGATCTTAAATCGACATTGATATAAAATTCACGAAGCCTATTGAAATCACAATGAGGTATTTTTCAGATCTTCAATAGTTGATGAAGTATCATCAGGGACGTGCCCTCGTAGCAGGTTCAATAATTTTATTCCACAAAAAATAACACCCAATAGATTTTTCAAATTCTTCGAAATCTTTCCAATCAGAGCAACTCAAAATACATCTTCTTTTGCTTTTTAGTTCTATTTCGTATCTAGCTGCGTTTCAGGAGTAACAAACAAAACACCAAACCTATGCATGTGAACTCGATGAGAGAAAAACTTAAATAATCAAAAACTAGTTGCCCGTTTACCAAATCAATCATTCAACCATGACGATACAAGTAGTAATTCACCTACCAATGTTAAATTTAGATATTAATTTTTTTTTAAACTCGAGCACCCTATATCTCGGAAACGTATCGTATTCGTGACCTTTCTTTCTCTTTTTGACCCAAAATGTACGACCCCAAAGTTTTCTGCAATATTGATGAAACACTCTGTATATGGCTACATAGCACAATTCAATAATCGGGAATAGAAAATGATTTATTACCGATAACTGATCCTGTAGATGGGAATGTTTGGTCAGATGGGTATAGTTGGTAAGATTGGTAAGATTGTTATAATATGTTGGATACAAAAATGTGGGTTTAGAAGAAAATTTTGATGAAAACTGCAGGGTATAAGTATGTACAGAAAAAAAATTCTGCTATGATCGATATCTTTGATCCATAAAGTGATGCTAGTAGATGTTTGCTATGCTAGGATGTCCCTGAAAAGTCTGTGAATAATGATACCATATAGTCTGAAGTGAGATGTTTGAACAGAACTTACTGTGCCTACAAAATATCAGAACGATATTCATAGACCAATAGATTATCTCAACTAGGGGTGGGCGATAATGATTTTGAAATATCGATTATCGATATTCATTATGTATCGATATTATCGATTTATCGATATTAGAAGGCAAAAAAGTTAAGGAGGGTTCCATTTCAAGAGGCGCACCCTGTACTCAGTGCATAATATCGCTCTCAATGTCAGCATACATTCATAAAACAATTATTCCTAACCTCAGCAAGCATAATTTCATCGAAGGATTGCCATACGCAAGTCCTATTCCCAGTGGCGGCTCGTGACTTCCATGACAGAGGAGGCTGAATGATATGAGATTTATTTCGAGAAACAACTCTCTACTCACCCAAATCAATAGCTTTGACATTCTGTTTATCAGTTAACCTGAACTTAATACTTGAAGAGATGTGTTCCTGTGATTCGCAGTGTCTATCCAATCCGCGAGCCAAATTTTTCAAAGCATTATGTACTAATCGCTCCCAACATGTATTCCTTACCTCAGATCCCGTCAGCCAGATATATTTTTTATAATTATCAGAATTGAACGAACGATTTTGTTTGTTACCTGTTACAATCAGATTTTTTAATTCCGGTGTCGGACGTTTGTTTTTCACAATCAATTTATCTCCATAAGACAAAGCACTGAATGGGTTCACCAAAAAGTATTCCACTAAATTGCAATCGTTCAAAACACTCATTTTTCATAAATTCATAGAGCCCCTAACCATTAACCCAACATAAACATAAACAATGCCCGCAATTCGCGACGCGACACGACAAACACGTGCTACTCGGGCGTATTCGTGCATTTGTATTGCGCGAGTGGGTTGTGAAGGAGTCTAGCCTCCTATAGATGTTGCCAAGTTGAATATTTTACTCGTGATTTGCAGACTTCAACGTGTGATGCGTGGGCAAGCACTATCGCCAATTAAAAAATATTCACCTGAGAACAGGAAAAAAAAGTCAAAATCTATGTATTTTGGTGTTCTTTCAATGAGAAAGTATAGATAATATCAGTTCAAGGAAAATCTCTGAAGAGGCTCAGCCTCCGTTGCCTCCTCTGAGGAACCGCCACTGCCTATTCCATGTTCTACGAAGCATTGTCTGTTGATGACCAGACAATCAGTTTCACTTTGGACTCCTGAAAAACATAGCGAAGTCAACATTTCGGAGTTGATGGTTGTGCTTTATGGTTTCAAGAAATCGATCATTCTGTACACAATAATTAGTAATTACCTACTCGTATCCACATGTTACTGAACATACTTAGAATGCACCAGCTTAACATAGAATGGCAATATTGTGAACATTGATATTTATTGTATAAAGGTGTTATGAAAAAAAAAACAACAGTATATTCGAACTGAAATTAGTGATTCACGATAGTTTCATGATTATAAGTTACCGATTTGGAAAATGGATAGGACAAGTAGATGTTGAAAATTGGAAAAAACAGTACAATGCAATTCATGTTATGAAATTTGGACTACTGGTACCTTGTTTGAGATAATTCTGATCTTTGAAGATGAAAACATAATTCTACCTTCTCACTTCATGCAAAATTTTCCATGTCTCAAATATGGAAGCCATGTGCTTCCTTACAGGGTGATGGGAATTCAATTTGTTCGTTCGCCATGTTTTTCTGAATATCATACATATTAACAGGATTACATTACTTATTTCTGTTGGAATATACTGTTAAGTTGACATGAGTGTATTGATAATAATATAGACTTATAGCCATTAGTTGAAAAAGAGACTCTTATATGATATATGAATGGCTTTTCCTAAAACTTAGCTATAGCTGATAGCAATTGAATACTAACCATTTGATTTCTAGATGTTATTATCAGAACAATAATACATCATTCATTATCATTATGAATATTGTGAAAATTATTAAATAAAATGTGAAAATATGGACGCCATTGTTGAGTAGATAAATAAATCATATCACTTGTCCTGTTGATACTTTATTCATTCATTAAATGCACATCAGGTCACTATAATCGTATACACCCCCATACTATACAGGATATGTCAAGAATAGCTTACACTATCTTTATATCCGAAGAAATCAGTTTTGGAGTTTTGCTGCTTCTACTAGAAAGTAGTAGCAACATTGATATTTCGAAAGGGACACCCTGTATTTTAGATTCTCCCTGAAAAGCTGATTTTAACGATGCATCACACTTGGGATCTATCGAAAAAGATTACATAGATATAGGGTGTTCAAAGTCGAGATTTTTCAACTTTAGAAATTTTTTGTGTCGAAACTATTCATTATCGGTCTGATCAAATATCAGTAAATAGTAAATCAAAAGTTGAGATAGGGACATATGTGAGCCGTTTTGGCCGATAATAAATGGTTTCGACAAAAACAAATCCTGAAGTTGAAAAGTATCGATTTTGAACACCTTATATATCTCTGTAATGATTTCCGATAGCTCTTCAGGGAGAATCCAAAAATGCAATGAAATATAGAGTATTCTATTTGAAATAACAAAGTTGTTGCTATTTTCTGATAGAAGCGGCAATACTGTATTGCTGAAAATGATTTGAATGAAGAGAGCATATTCGAAAATATGAGCAAGTTGTTTCTAGACTGCAATTGTATATGGAATGAGAATTAACAATGGGAAACATATAAATCAAGATTCTATACCAGTATTTACTCTCGATTAAATAATCAACTCATGAAACTTCTGAGGTACTTCGATCAACTCTTTTTCCTTCTAAAATGATTTGAATTTCATCCAAAGACTTTCCTTTGGTCTCCGGTATGAAAAATATAACGAAAATACTAGTCAAAAATGCACACAGTGAGAACAGATAAAAAGGTGCGTGCATGCCCAAATTATCCTTCAAAATATTGTACAATTGAATGGAACATATTGCCATCGAAACATAAACCCCATCAGCTATCGTCATTCCAATAGCCTTCATCTTAGAAGCGAATATCTCGGCTGTTATCACGATTGGTACCATTCCCAAACCAAATTTATACACGGCTGCGTAAACCATCACAGATACTATAGGTATCCAGCTGATTCTCCTATATTCCAGCCCTGATTCTTTGATGTGGAAATAAACTGCCAGAGCCAGAAGACTCAGGCTCGTTAGTATACTAGACGTCACCAATAACTTCTTGCGTCCAAAATTGTCGATAGTACAAGAAGCACTCAATGCAGCTACCAGCATCAAACCTGCGAAGATTATAGCAGCAATTGGTGGATGGACGTAGATGGAACCAGCTTCTCCCAAAATTTGGTGCATATTCATCAAAATCACGTTGATACTACTAAGTTGTTGAGCTGTATTGAGAACTGCCATGATCAGCATAGCTTTCCTATAACTCTTTACCAAGACGATGTCTTGAGGTTTACCTCGTTCTAGTTTCTGTCTTTCCACTGCGACGGAGATTTCTCTCAGCTCTTCTTTGATAGACTCCGAACTTGATCTGAACTTGATCAAAGATTTCTCAGCTTCTTCGATTTTATTTCTGAACAAAAGGAAGTATGGAGTTTCTGGTAAAAGGGAGAACACTATTAGTTCGATAGTGAGAAGGACTCCTCCAATGATTGATGGGACATAAAATGGTAGATATGGACCTACAGTATATACTGTCATGACGCCTATTAACATCATGAGGTAGATGACGCTCGACAGGAAACCCCTGATCTTTTGGTCTGCTATTTCTGCTATGTACATAGGTGCAGCTACAAAAGCCATGTCACCACCCATGCCTGACATCACTCGAGCGATGTAAATATATTCAATCTTATCTGCTAGTGCTATCATCATCCAAGCGACTAAGAGAACAAACGAGGATAGGAGTAACGATTTTTTCCTTCCGATTCTGTCTACGAAGTAAATGGTGAGTGGTAGACCCACGATTGCTCCTATCAATAGATATGTTTCTAGCCATTCTGTTTCGATTACTGTCATTCTGATGTGGCTGTCTTCGCTCAAGAAGTAAGGTATCATTGGTGCTGTCCATCCCACTGTCATTCCATCTGATATTGCCATCAAGTTGGCTGAAAGAACATAGACTGATCAACACTAGAAACGAAGAATCGAAAGTGTAATAATGTTGTCAAAAGAGAGTGGAAAACTGTAGCTCATTTCCACAAAATGTCCAAACAATTCAACGACAATAACTGAAGAGAAACAGCTATACTTCCCTGGCAAATATCACGCAGAACATCCTCTCGATATCAAGGCAATAATTCATGTAACCGAACTACTACAGTTTAGGCATATTTCGGTATTCAGGGAAGAAACACTCGTAACAGTATTCGTTAAAACGAATCGTTTGGCGATGTTAAAATTCCGAAAACCAATGATATACAGGATGTTTCATGAGCAGACTCACATAGCCGAATGGTTGATAGGGGAAATCAAGACGAGTTGATGTATGTATATGAAAACATTTTTTGACCCTCCATAACGAAGATACAGGGTATTATGTGAAATTGCTATATAACTTTGATCGTCGATAGTACAGAAATGATTCGTCGTAATCTACTGAAATTTGGCAGCGACGTATCACTACTGAAACTATTCAAGATGACATATTATGAAAAAAAATATCCAGGTCCGGACTGGGGAAAATTTTATGTTTTATTGTTATGTCAAAAAGGTTCACTCTGTGACCACTTTTCTCGAAAAATTCCATCAGCCCAGGTAGCACATGACGACTATATGACGTCTAATTGACGGCATCACATTCGGCCAAAAGACGTCTTTATTTCAACAAATGCGACGTCCAAATGACGTAAGTAAGACACATCCAAATGACGTCATATTTGAAAGTCTTTTAGACGTCAGTATGTGTTTTCAAATTGGACCTTAAACTGACACTACTGACCAATTTCCGACGTCAATAAGACGTCTGTTTTTTTTTTTCATAAAATTTTGGGGTTAATGGTTACCTATAATCTGGTGAGGAATGTAATCATTTGTGCTATAAAATAAATTTGCTACGAATGAAGATTTTATTAACAAAATAGTAATGTAAGGTATTACATATAGTTGAAAATTTCAGCGTCGATGGCTGCCCCTTCACAGAGAGCTCTTTTGTATGTTTTGCTGTCTTTAAATGGCGGCCAAAACACATCCTTTTTCAACGGCGTCAGCCAAATTTCGTGAACAACAGCTACGCTGTTGCTTCCACTGTCATCAAATTGTATTACACAATACATCATGAATGCTTTCACGTGAAAAACAGACTGTATAGGGATACCACTCAAACACTCAACATTTTAACATTCTTAACAAATCCAATGGCACAGACGCCGTTCACAAACAACACCCATTCATGAACGGGAACTCGGGAACGCACCATGCACGATGCAAGCTTGACGCTGAACGCTGAACCACAGCCCGGACCGCTGAACGGCACTAACGCCACTAACGGCAGTCGCGAGATGGTCGCGAGTCGCATACACGATCTCTTCGCGTGATTACTTGATCGCCATTGGCCATCTGGTCGGTAATGTGAGAATTGTCTTTGGCGCTAAATTTAAACATTGAAAATAAAGGGAAGCCTATGGAATAAAATACATTTTAATTATACATTTATACAGTTATTTGGATAGATTAATTGATTTATTTCATAATTTCGTTATCCTATACATACACAATAATAATGATAATAATAATGATAATAATAATAATAATAATAATAATAATGATATGATAATGATGATACTAATAATAATAATAATAATTATAGTAATAATAATAATGATAATGATGATGATAATGATAATAATACCCAAAAAAATATAAAGACCATAGATTGACGTCTATACGACGTCAAACAGTGGCTGTCCATAAGACGTCACATTAATGACGTCCGCATGACGTCATAATTTGGTCAAAAGACGTATGAGACCAAAAAAGACCTTAGATAGCGGTCCTATAGACGTCACATTCGTCAGTCTGGCTACCTGGGAGATTCAGAAAGATCAGACAAAATTCTATGAGAACTGCACTTCAATTTACACGCCACACTTTGTCTGGTTCAATAAAATAATATGGAACAAAATCGTTCGAATGAATTTTAAATTTCGACCTGGCTGATAACTGTCAATTTTCAACTGGTATCATGTGAATTGATTTTTCCTACATTTTTGTTGAATAGTAATTGACAGAAGAATATACGAGAAGAAAAACACGATATTTTTTTATCGGAATTCCAGATAGATATTATTATCCCTGACTTTGTTTTATGGGTGTCGCTTGAAGTGAGATATCGAGTAGGTCCGGTTTCTCATTTGTGTGACGAGACGTGACGTTTGTTGATAATCCGAATCCGGATAGGTAGGTACTAGGCTAGTACTAGGTAGGTACCATCTGATGAAATAACGACATGAGGATTCAAGTGCCCATATTATGGTGATTTATCAAATTAGTTATGCCATCACGCATAAACTTAGCTCAATTTTTTGTTATTGATACACTTCTGCAAGTGACATAAGGATACGCATTTGCTATTTATTCAAAATTCCTAATGTTCATCATCGTGAAGGTTTTACTGCAACGTATTCTTGGGTCTGGGAACATTCTATGGTATTAAACATTTTCGTCTTGTTCAGCATTTGGAATATGAAGTGGCACCTAGAGTGTAAGAATATTTCGATTACCAGTGTTTACCTATCAACAAACGTCATGTTGAATAAAATAAAAACAGGGCCCACTTTTTAATAAATTTATAAAATAGAGTCACGAGTAATCATATCTATCTAGAAGTATCATTGAAGAATCAGTACTAATCTCTTCTGTCAATTTCTATACAATAAAAATGTACAAAAAATCAATTAACACGAATCCAGTTAAAAGTTGAGAGTTATCAGCCAGGTCGAAATTGAAAATTCATTCGAACGTTTTTGTTCCATATTTTTTTGTTGAACCGGTCAAAGTGTGCCGTGTAAATTGGAGAGCAGTTCTTATAGCATTTTGTCTGATATTTCTGAATCTGATGGAATTTTTTGAGAAAAGTGGTCACAAAGTGAACTTTTTTGACATAACACTGAAATATAAAATGTTACCATGTCCGGACCTGGGTATTTTTTTCATAATATGTTATCTTGAATAGTTCCAGTAGAGGTACGTTGCTGCCAAATTTCAGCAGATTAAGACGAATCATTTCTGTAATATCGACCATCAAAGTTATATAGCAATTTAACATAATACCCTGTATCTTCGTTATGGAGGGTCAAAAAATGTTTGCATATATATACATCAACTCGTCTTGATTTCCCGTATTAACCATTTGGCTATGTGAGTCTCCTCATGAAACACCCTGTATATTTATAATCTATCGCCCAATAACGGTTCTGAAAATTAGAGCTCTGAGCGAGTATCAAGCAACATTTGCAAGCCCATGGAAATCGTTTTCAACGTTGGTTCCCTCTCGAATCCTTCTACAAATTAACGAATCATTTGTGAAAACTCCAGAAACGGTAACATTTCCTCAAAATTAGACATGAATTGTGGCTATCACATTCAAGTGAAATACTCGTACAAAACATATCGAGTTGTCAAGAATTCTGTTGAAATCATTAATCTACTACCAATATACGTAATGTGAAACATTACGACACTGATTTTAGTTTGGTAATGGGATACTTCACCGCACTAGTGCTGTAAAGTGAAGAAATAATTTCAATTCCCAGTATGTCACTAAAGGAAAAGAAAAACTGGATGCTCATAAATATAGCAGGTACTCGAGTTTTGATTGTTTCATTTGTCGCAATTTCTATCTGAATCTATATAATTTCGTGATCAGAATTCTTGTCGATGAATTTTTTCTCAAATTGAGATGAACACGTCAGAGTTGACATCAGTTCCTAATAAATCGTTGATTCAAGGAATACCAACCATTTGTGATTGAATTTTGAATTATTAGCGTCATTGGTTGTTGGTAAAATATTGTACTATATTCGTATCGTAAATTCATAATACGATAACGAAAAGTAATCACACTCGGCATTCAGCATCTTTCCCATCTCATATCGTGATATGGATCTTCACGATACTCGTATCGTAAATATCTAATACACTCTCCTAAAAAATTAACGCACCGCCAAAAAGTATTCAGAAGTTTGAGATTTTTATTTTTGACATTATCGTCGAAACAACTCGTCCGATTTGGACCTTTTTGAAATTGAAAATTATATTGGGGTGCATGCAGTATTCGCATGAAAACTTCTTTTTCATGAATACTGGGTGTAAAAATTATAACGTGCTTTTTTCATGAAATTTGTTATGCCCTCTGTAGAGTCTGCCAGTAACATTAATAAATTAGAATTGAAATTACACTTTAGCCTTATCTCATTTCAACAATTTTCTCCTTCTGAGATAACTCCATTGAATCACCTATCACTCCAGAAACACAATTTTATCCCTTTCGAGACGAGTTTTTGTTTTAAGGATTATGGATTGAATTTTCATTGGATTAATGTCAGTGGCGATCAAATGAAACCTCTAAATCAAATAGTCAATTACTTCTTATTTATTAGAAGTGGTGGGGGGATGGTACATATAGGTATCGTCAGTCTTTGAGGGTCCTTGAGGGTGGTACATAATATATTATATGTACGATTTTTTTGCAGGATTCGGCTCCCATAAATCGCTATTGCACGACGAAAAGTCGGATAAACTTGAAATTTCTGACAAATAGTCAGCGATGTGTTACAACTTATCCATACATTTTTTTTCTGGACATCGTCTGAGACAAAAAAACGAAGTCAATACAGAAGACTATCGGTACATACCTGTACCAACCAGTGGCGGCTCGTGACTTTCATGACAGAGGAGGCTGAATGATATGAGATTAATTGTGAAAAACAACTCTCTACTCACCCAAATCAATAGAAAATTTTTCAAATCATCATATCCTAATCGCCCCCAACATGATGACTTATCGGTTGAAAATAATACGCAGTACCAACAAAATAGCTTATTCCTTACATCAGATCCCGTCAACCAGATACATTTTTTTTTATAATTATCAGAATTGAACGAACGATTTTGTTTGTTACCTGTTACAATCAGATTTTTCAATTCCGGTGTCGGACGTTTGTTTTTCACAATAAATTTATGTTCATGAGACAAAGCACTGAATGGGTTCACCAAAAAGTATTCCACTGGATCGCAATCCTTTCAAACACTCATTTTTCAGAAATTTATAGAGCCCCTAACCATTTACCTAACATAAACATAAACAATGCACTCGAATTTGTCCGCAATTCGGGCGTATTCGGGCATTGTGAAGGAGTCTAGCCTCCTATAGATGTTGCCAAGTTGAATATTTTACGCGTGATTTGCAGACCTCAACGTGTGAGGCGTGGGCAAGCACTGTTGCGAATTCAAAAATATTTAACTAAAAACAGGAAATAAAATTGAAATCCATATATTTTGGTGTCCTTTTAATGAAAAAGAATAGATAATATTAGTTTATGAAAAATCTTTGAGGAGGCTCAGCCTCCGTTGCCTCCTCTGAGGAGATGCCACTGGTACCAACATCAAGTCTAGTTACGGACTGCTGGTACATATGTGTATCACTGTAGAAAACAGCTGTTTTTTTGTTATTTCCACCAGTGTTTCGCAATTCACCTTCAACTAAGTCCACACACACAATATGCGCAATTTATTTCATTTTTTTTTTCGTAAAAATTAACTGAAAATGGAGCGTAGAAGTTCACTACCACATAACCCCAAATAAAATTCCGTGCTTCAAAGTTACAAAGGAGACGTACTGGTACATAGAGGAACCATATAGAATATGAATATTTGCTTGTAGTTTTCGCATGATTCTTACTGGTACTTATGTGTATCGACAGGCTCGAAAGGTTTATAACATATTATGATTTTATTGAATTGAATTAGCATATTATAAGCACGTAAGTAGCAGACTACGGTCTGGGAGGGCATTTCTTTGACTGGTCATATGGAACTTGTCTTTCTACTGGAAGGTACATATTGAAGATTCCAGAATCACATATAGTGTGAGGAGGTTTGTTGATGCAAGATAATGCCAGGCTTCACGTCGTGAGAGTTGTAAGAAATAATCTAGAGGAAGTCGCTATCGCTACCATGGCTCTCCAGCTCGGATCCCAGATTTGATCTCTGGGAAATTCTTGGGACACGATTACAAGAGGAACGTGACTTGAATACTTTGTGAGACGCACGGCAGAGACTAATTCAAATTTTGGAAGACCTGAACCAAAATGACATATGGCCTCTCATTTTGAGTATATGTCATCTTTGCCAAGCAATTATATGTGCCCGAGGCCGAAATACTCATTACTGGCCCTTTCGTTCAACTTGTGACTCCGCATTCTGTTTCCTTTTCCCGTTGTTCAAGTCAAATGTTGATTCTTCATGAAATCATGTCATGTGTTTCTCGATTAGTGGGACAGATTTTTTTTATGTTCTGGTTCTCACGAAAAGGAATATCGAACCAATAGAAATAAGGTAGGAATTGGTGTTCATCTGAATTTCTGGAGGTTATATGCCTCGGGGAACACCTCCCTTGGCAATGTGTTCCAGAGCCTCGCTGCGTTGGATGAACGAGTCTTTGGAAAGAGATGTTCTGCAGGTCCCCAAAGTGACCACGAAGTGGTGCGAAGCCTCAACCCGACGAGTTAATCTCGCGGGGACTGCCAAGGGAGGAACAATCGTTGATATTCCAGAAGAGCATCGTCCATGTAAATATCTATAAAATAGAGCCAGATCGCCAACTTTTCTACGGTGTTTCAGAGAAGTGAGTGAGTTTGTGAGCGAGGTATCACCCACGAGACGAATTGCCCTTTTTTGGACAGAATTCAAGAGTTTCAGGGTATGTTTGGGTGCTGTACTCCAAATATGGAACAGTATTCCAGGACAGGTCGAATCTGTGTCTTATATGTTTATCATAAGCAGCTGACTGGAAGTGGAATAGATCCTGGCTCGAAACAGAAAACCAAGTTTCTGGGATGCACTTGATCACACGTGATTTTCCCAAGAAATGTTGAGAAAGATGAGGCTGAAGTGAAATTCCAATTCTAACTTGCTTGTGTAACTATTACTGTCCATAAGATATTACAAATTTTGCAAAAATCACACTTCAATTGTTACACCCGGTATGTATAAAAAGAGTTTCACATGCAAATACAGTTTGCATACCAATGTGCAGCAGGAGATATCCTGTCATTCAAAACAAAACTCGTCCGAATTAGAGAAGTAATTCTGACGAAAATGTTTCTTTTTCGACTTGGCTTCTTTCAAATGGCGCGTTAATTTCTTAGGGGGAGTGTATTTTCCATGTATGCAACCTACACAAACTCACCAATCAAAGCTGCAAAGAACTGAAAACATCTTCCATTATCACAGAAACTTCGAATGTCTCTACAGTGCATGTTTGCGATTAAACCGAAACATCCTCATGCATAAATGTGCACTAAATAGATGTGAATATAAATATTAAATGTTATCTGATTTCGAATTCAGTTTACACAAGAATATACCGATGCCATTGTGAAATCGTCTTTTTAGATTTAGGTGCAAAAAGTCAGACTATAATATATACATATAAACTAAGGTAGATCTAGACTCATATTATTTCAGATACGGTAAATAAATACATTTTTGTGAAAAACAGGTCTGATTACAATTTGATGAGATGAGGCGAGGTTATTTTCATATTGCGAAATCGCATTTTCAAGTTGATGTTTGAATTCATCGGTGAAAAGCAGGATATCCAATGTCCAAAATCTCTTTTGCATTTTCAACTTATTGTCATACTTTTCTTCAATGTGATCTCACTTTCAGTTTCCTTGGTTCTATAGCTCCATTATAATCAGGTTCTGGTTTTCCTTTTCACCTGTTTAATCGACAGTTATGGTTATTTACCAATGATCAACCAAGACATTCTTCTACGAAAACTTCATCGCTATGGTTTCAGAGATAACACTGTCAGCTGGTTTCAATCATACTTATAAATTGTGAAAACTACGAAGTATTCATCTAAGCAAGCCGTCAGATGCGGTATCTCTCAAGGCTCAGTACTTGGCCCAACTCTGTTCCTGCTATATATAAACTATCTAATTGTTGTGAATATTACAGGCACCTCAACTTTCTCTGCAGACGACACTACGATCTTGTAGCACAATCGAAAGTTAGATGATTTGTATTTTTCAATTCCTCATGACATCGAAATAATAAAAAAATTGTGTGATTCTAACCCACTCTCCTTCAATATAGGCAAATCGAGTGTTCTCACCTTCAGATGTACATTACCTGACATTTGGCTTGGAGGTGATTTGATATATAAGAAGAACAATTTCACATTTCTTGGCCTTACTGTAGATGATAAATTAAAATTCAGAGACCATTTAGTGGAGTTGAGTGAAAAAGTGATATGTTCTGAGAATCATTTCTGATGAGTTGGGATATTCCCTATCAAGAACAGCCTACTTTGCATTAGTAGACTGATATGAGATATGGCATTGCTTTCTGGGGAGTTTGTTCAAGAGAGCTTTTGAATATGATGTTTGTCCTTCAGAAAAAAGCTATACGGTATTTTCGCAAGACAAAAGTGAGGAATCATAACAAACATTATCATTGAATCAAACATTAGTTATAATAAACGTCATTTCAACCTTATAAAAGGTCAACGACTTATTTAGCGAAAGTAAATAATTATAACGTCTTATTTATCTCAAATTTACTAATGTGGGGAAAAAACTGGAAGTAAGTCAGAAGACTTATTTACGTGTGGAGACTGAATGGTATCAAAATGTTCAATCACTTGCCGATACATCTGAAACAAATTGAGGAACAGAAGGCATCCATAAAGGCTGTGAATAGGTTGCTTGTTGAAAAGACCTATTATTCTTCACAGGATTTTTTTGACGATGAGCTTGGAGAATAATTAACTAACTAACAGCTGATATTCTTACAATAATGTAATATATGTTATGTTTTGTTATAAGTATGTTGAGTTATATTGTACGTCCATATCTACAAACTTATGTGTCCACCAGTTCTTGTTTTGTTTGACTGCCTTGTACATTCCCAAATGTGCAGTACATATTATTATTATTATTATCAATTTTGTTATGTTCAATCCTAACTCATTCCTACTCTCATTGCATTTATATCTGTTTTATGTACAGAGATATATTTCAATATAAGTGCATGTTGATCCATTCAATAATTTATGAACCTTCATGTTATACACCAGTCTATACACTTTATTTATTTATTCATTCATTCTAATTGTTTATCATTAAAATTGTTTATATATCTGTATTCCAACGAGTTCAACTTCAACCTTGACTGAAATTTTTCATTCCACTCCATTTATTTATTCATCATGCATTATCAAGACGAATTTGTTTCTTTGACAATAAATTATATTTTTGATTGATTGATTGATCCCCATATCATCCTTTTCGGGCATGTTTGCATCCACTATGGGCCTTGAAAACATTTTTTATTTGCAAAGAATATGTTTCAATGAATTGTCCGAAACAGAGGAGGTGGACATATTATATAGTGATTGACATAAGCCTGTTTATGCTCTTTTTCCATTCCACACTACTACCACTCTAGTGTAATATCGTTGGAGTTCTCTTGTGCAGTTTTGTATACATCCATCTTTCAAATATCTAATAACTAATAATTTGCCAAACCTGTGTATTTTCATCGATTTATCAAAAGCGTTCGATTCCGTGAGTCATGACCTACTCCTACTGACACTGGAAGATATTGGAATTAGAAATAATTGCCTTGAGTTATTTAGAAATTATCTACACAATAGATTCCAATCAGTGAGAGTAGACAATGTACAGAGTGACAAGAGAAAAATAGAGTATGGTGTACCTCAGGGGACCGTATTAGGCCCTATCCTATTCAGTATTTATGTGAATGGCATGTTTTCGTTACAGAGTCGAGGAGAAATATTGGGATTTGCTGACGATACAGCCATCTTTTATAAAGCGAATACTTGGCATGAGTTGAAAGTCATTGTGGAATCAGATTTTCCTTTATTGAAGAACTGGCTAGAACACAAGTTACTAACTGTAAACCTAGAAAAAACATATTATATGCCATTTAGTTGCAACAGATCGAGCACTCCACCTTTCAAAAGTCTAACGATAAACACCACAGGACACAACAGCACAATATTCTGCCAGAGGAGAAAGTTAAATATTTAGGTGTTATAATAGATACAAACCTCAAATGGGATGCACACCTGAATTATATATGCAACAAATTGAGATCCATCATTCACAAATTTAAGTATTTGAAAAGTATTTTACCATTTTACCAACTCAAAATCTTGTATCATGCTTTGGTGGAAAGCCACCTACGATATAGCATAATATGCTGGGGAGGCGCATTAAAAACACATCTTCGTACCTTAGAAAATCTGCAAAAAAGGTTTCTTAAAATTATCATGTCCAAAGAGTTCAGATACCCCTAGTGACGCACTATTCCACGAAGCCAAAGTGTTAGACATACGCCAACTTTTTTATCTTCAAATTAATATAAAATACCATCAAAATAAACGTTTTAACCTACCCAATCATCCATACCCTACAAGGAAAAAATATTATCACGTAGTTCCACAAATGCAGAAAGCTATATGCCAACGAAGTTATCAATATATAGCACCAAAATTGTACAATACCGTCCCACAATACATACAAGAAATAAGTAATTCACAGTCGTTTGAAAAAGCACTGAAACAATTCATCTCGAGTCAACCACGACGAAACATTTCGGATATGATATAAAAAAATAAGATCAATAAATATGGTGTTGGCTTACTACCCTCTTGTTTTTATTTAGATATTTTTGTAACAATAATATCTGTATTGACTTTCCTAATTTTCTTCGTAACACTGTTATTAATATCACTTTCCTTTAATTCTATTACTCATCTGTATTTTTAATGTTAAGTTATTTTATTATTATGCGAAACAAGTGCTCTAACACTTATCGCCTTGTGATATTTATACCCGCTACTTTTTAGGTTAAGTTATTTAATTATCAAGCGAAACAAGTGTTTTACACTTATCGCATTGTGATATTTATTCTCTTTAATGTACTTCGATCCTTATATATTTGTATACTATACTTTCCTCAATAAATATCTTATTTATTATTTATTATTATTATTATTAATTACAGACCTTATGGTTCTTTCTGTGATTATTATAGTCTCAGTCCAACTGTATGACACGATTATTGGAAAACGTCTGAATTCCCGTCCCATATAGTATATCAATTCCATATCTACTTGCTCCTGTAACTTCCATTCAATGATAAATCTCTGCAAAATCTCTATTGAAAACTATATAGACAAGAAGGGCAAAATAAATATCCGCTATCAGACTAAACGTTCACATATTGTTCGGACATCTCTTTCTTGAACCTGAAAATAAATAATCTCTACAGACAATCTTATTGTTGGGAGTTTTTCTGGAATATGACATTTTCCGAAGATATTTTCTGTTCCAAGAACTTCGACCAGATTATATTATATCTCTAGAATATCACGCGGGGGCATGAGTGAACCGTGTTGCCAGAGTTAGGCAATTCTTTTGACAAGATTCTTAAACTAAGGTACTTCAATTACTAAGCTGCTTGAAGCACCAATAATCTTTGACAGCAATTACAAAAGTGCCTTAACAACCAATGATTGATGATAGCCAACAGAATGATCACTCGGGCGCAATTTCGAACTTATTCAGCTCCTCTTTCTGAACGATTCTATTGAAGTGTGTTCGATTGAATAAGCTCAAAAGTGATTATATCTTTCAATCAATAATAACTCCAAATCATTTCACTCATTGTATATAAATGGCATTCTCATTTACTCAATTGGAATTCATTTTGTCGGATGCAACAGTCATTTTCCTGTGAACATTTGTTGTAGTGATAAGTTTTGTTGACATTTCTCAACTACCTACCAATCTCATCTGAAAAGTTACTTTATTCAATTTTTGAAATACCGATATGTAATGACTACGGATCACACGATTTTTCGAGAGAAAAATCATTTTGGATAACAAAGAAACAGCATGAAATACATATGGGTACGGTAGTAGTTTCTTATCCTTCATTCCAGATTTGGTTGTATTTTCTCTCTTCGTTTCTTCAAAATGAAAATATGGGTATTATTCCAATATACGCGTAGTTGGAACTAATCAGATGATTTGCCCAAAAATGGGTTTGGAGAAGAGGAAAATAGGTAAATAAAAAAAATATCGAATTTTCACTCATCTTTGGACGTTTCGGGAACAAATCTGCTCTTGTTTTGAAAATGAAATATGAAAACGGGAAAATATTCTTCTCACAAATTGACTTCAGATATCAGTGTTGACAAATGACGAGGTTGAAAAAAAAAATATACATAATGTTTTCATTGTCTTGAATTTACTATTTTCATGTTCAGATTTAAGTAGTTAAAACCATGT